GGCTCGGACGGCTTCTCAGTGCTGAGGCTTTTTACGGTCGTGGCTTCTTACTTGTCTTTACATAAAACCTGCCGGTATTCTTATTTATCGTTGTTTTATTTCTGTCTGGCGTGAGGTATTAACGTTTTGCTTGAAATGGAAACATGGCTTGGTTTTCTTGCGAGTTCAGAAACTCCAATTAAGGAATTCTTTTCCGGTCGTTATAGAAACTCCCTTGGCAGCTCTAGGAAGGGAGTGTCCGATTTGAAGTCGGGACCAGACGTGTGACTTCGGGCCAAATGTTGCATGTCTGTTTTATCTCTCTTGTACAGTGAGGATACTATCAGCGGGTAGGACTGTCGTGTGAAGAGCTATGTAAATATTTTCTGCAAGTTGTGGGTGAAGTATTGTGGTGATTGGGTGTAAAATAATTTGTAAGTGGTCAGACTGAGTGCTTTAAGGCTATGATTCTTTATTCCGTGGTTACTAATTCTGCCCAATCTCTTTCACTTACTTGCCCTCAGGAGAATGACTACACATCATCGATACCATTGGATAAATGAATCTCTAGTATAGAGTTCTGGGTTACAAACGTATTATCTAAAGGACAGATGGTTAAAGTGATGTGGGTTTAAGCTAAAGAAGCATTTCGAGGACTCGTAAAACTTTCGGGTGGCATTTACATGAAACTTTAATAGTTTATGAGTTGTTCTGGCATCTTTCAAGGGAGTGAGAGGAGGCGAAAAAATTGCTAAATATCAGGTAGGCCCAGTAAGGTGTGGAGAGGCACTTGCCTGTAATCCCACCTGCTCAGGAGACTGAAGCTGGAGGGTCTGGAGTTTGAGGCTAGCTTGGACAACATAAGGCTACACGGGTCTCTCCAAAAATGTAAAAGTTACTGGTTAACTTTGGTTCTATGCTGGTGGATATAATTAGACATTAAAAGCAACTGAGGTGGGGGCAGGGCGAGCAGATGGCTTAATGGTTATGTTGCTGGACTCCCACCAAAGTCAACTGTGATCCCAGTTCTGGACCCAGTGGCTTATTTCTCAAGCCACGCCAGTGTGTGTGCATGCCCAAGATCCTGCGTGGAGAAGGGATTGCAGCATGGCCATGGGGAGTGATTTCTTGCTTTCTGCCTTTCTCTCTTGTCTCTCTTTGGTGACTGCACATGCCCTATAGCAAAAAACCTCTCTCTAAGGAGGAAAACAAACAAACCAGCAACTTGGATTACTCTACTAGCCAAAACCAGATTTTTGGGTGATTTGGATTGCAGGTATTCATACTTAGAAAGGACTTTGGAGCCAGCTGTTATCTTGGAGCTGCTGGGATCCCACCTGGCCAACTGTGTTGTTTGAGCCCCAACCTAGTGGCTTGAAAACCCTCTGGGTTTGTATGCCTCTATGGTGTGCCCAAAATCCTGAAAGGAGAATGGAGGAGAAGGGTTGCAGTGTGGTTATCCTCACTGGTGTGTTTCTCGCTTTCTATATCCATCTCTCTAAGCGTGTGTACCCTATAGCAAAAACTTAAAAACAAAACAAAAAACAAAATTAAAAAAACCCATACAAGAAAAGAGAAAGGACTATGAGAAATGGGACTCAGAAACACAACGGTGATCCAGTTGGTCACTGAATTAACTGTGCTTATTTGTTACTGAAACAGGTTGTCCAGAAAAGTATTAATAAAGGTAAAAGTAGAGCAGTGGATCCAGCGGATCAGGAAGGTTGTCTGAAAGTAGGGAATCATTTTAGAGCGGCAGTCTCCAACCTTTCCGGCACCAGAGACCAGTTTTTAGTGGAAGAAAATTTTTCCATGGACTGGGGCCAGGGGAATGGTTTAGCAGTAATTTAAGCACATTTCATTTATTGTTCACTTTGCTTTCATTATCATTACACTGTAATAATATGGGCCAGTACCAGTCGATGGCCCAGAGGTTGGGGATTCCTGATTTAAAGGATGACTTGAGATCTTTCCTAGTCCTGTGACATGTCCTCATGACTTAAGGGATTGGAAAATTCACTTTTAATACCTCTGGGTCTTTGGATGGTATTCTTGTTTGCACTCTGTTTTTCAGTGATGTAATCTAAAAATAAAAATCTCATTTCCTCCTATTAGGAAACTACCAAAAAACAATGGGCAGGGCAATATTTAATTGTATCATAATATTTTTTTTTTAAAATATTTAACTCTATTTATTATTATATCATTATTACTTTCCAGTTTGATCAGAGAGACAGAGAAAGAGGAAGTGAGAAAGCAAGCCACCACATCTGAGACTTGAACCATGGTCGGCCATGTGGGAGTCCAGCGCCTTTAACCACCATGCCACTTGCTGGCCCCATATCATAATATTTTTTAAAAATTAGTTATTAGAGAGATTTTTGCTAGAAGGCATGTGTGCTTGCTGGAAAGACCGAAAGCAAGAAATCTGCCCCCCCTACCCCACCCCTCCAGGGGATGGCCTGCTGCAGTCCATTCTCCATTCTCCTTCTGGGATCCTGGGCATGCATGCACACATGCCTGGCATGAGTTATAAGCCACCCAGACTGGGACTCTTAACTGCAGTTGACTACGTGGAAGTCCAGTGATGTGACCATTACACCATCTGCTGGTCTCTATTTATTATTTTTAATTTGCTATAGGACATGTGTATTCACCAGAGAGAGAAAGTGAGAAAGCAAGCTGCCAGGTCTGGGACGCAAACCGCAGTTGGCCATGTGGGAGTCCAATGCCTTAGCTGCTGGCCCTGATAATTGTTTATAATGATTGCTTGGGGCATCTTAAGACCATACAACTTTTTTTTTTTTTTTTTTTGAAATGTTTGGTTATTCAGAAGTATTTCTTGAATACTTGCCAAGCACATGGAACTATTCTAAGTGTTGGGATACAGCAGTGAACAAAATTGGCATCCTTGGGAGCCAGACCTTGGCGTAGTCACATGTGGGAAGGTTCCTGGTTCAAGTCTGGAGACTTCCTTGTGTACTAAGGTATATGCTTGCCCGTGATCTGGAGCTAGCCAAGGACCAGAGGTGGATTGCTGCGTTGGCATCCTGTTGGAGGTGCTGTTTCTTTATCTCTGACTCTTTTGTCCCTGGAGAAAATAAATACACTTAAAAGAACTGATGGGCCAGGTGGTGGTGGGATAGTTAGGGTAACTGGATCCCACATGACCAACAGCAGTTCAGGTCCCTGACCCAGTGGCAAGTAGGTGCCCAAAATGCTGAGAGGAGAATGGAGGAGAAGGGATTGCTGTGTGACCATCTCCCCTGGGGGTTGATTTCTCGCTTCGAAATCTGTTGAAGCCACACCACATCTTGGGGAAAAAAGATGTAAGTAAAGGCAACAAACAGTGAATATAAATGCCCATTGGTGGGATAGTGCCAGGTATGTTGGAAAGAAAGGGCCAGGAGGCCGTGGTGACCAGAGTAACCTGGGCTGAGGTCAGTACATGCGTCAAGTGGAAACTGGGCTCCATAGGCTTTTGGAAAGGCAGAGCCTTTTTTTTCTGAGTGAGACTGGAAGTCTTTGGCACTGTTTTTTTTTTTTTTTCCCCCTTTTCTTTGAATTGCCAGAAGGTTCTGTGTGTACTCTCCAGAGGAAAGGAGAGAGGGAGAAAGCATCCCTCTCAGTGGGGCATGGTCATACTACTGTTCTTATCCATTTCTCTGCCCTGTGGGGACTTTGGGTACACACACACACTTGCCCGGCCTGTTTTTCAAGCCTCTGGGGTCAGGATTCAAACCACAGTCAGCCATGTGAGATCCAGCTTCCCTTAACCACTA